GTGTGTGTGTGTGTGTGTGTGTGTGTGTACGGATGAATAAATAAATGAATTATATGAATGGCAGAATCTCTTTAAATCAAGCTGATGCATTGCATTGTTTGGCAGTTTTGTCGGTGCTGGGTCATGTGAGATGCTGATTGTCTGTGCTAAAGACATGTGTGCTGTGTGTATGTGTGCGTGTTACTGTACCTGTTTGACATTTGCTGGCAGCTTGTTCCACGGATAATTCTGCCTGATGTGAAATTCAACGTCCGTGTTCATTGCTGGACTCGAGCTCCACGGTTATTCAAACAGAAACTCACGGGGTTGTCGGGTAAGTCCGAGATGACTATACCCTCCCGGTACTTATTCAGTGATAAGACACCGTTGGGTTATTAAATATCTCCTCTCTGAATGTTATTTTAGCCTTGACAGTGAACGTTCACTTCCTTGTTGTATTTTTAAGCGAGCCTTCGTCACGCTTCTGGCTATGTACGTCACTTCCTTTGAGCGCGTGACGAAAGAAGATTATGAAGCGCAAGACAGGAGTGATGAGAAATCTGACTCATTTTTGAGTATCGACTCTTTCGAGCGGTTCTATTTAATGAACTTGTTCGAGAGAAAAACATGGTTTTCCTGTTATGTTGTATCAATGATAGCGGGGTTCCCTTATTTCGCGTGTACCCTATCAGTTCATTCATTGCAGTCATGATTCGGCTCACAGTCTTCAGAACTGAGTCATGAAAAAGATCCGAATAAAACGAATGATTCCTTTACAAATCAGGCATCGCTGCAGAATAAATAGACACGCTGGCGTAAAGCGGAGTTACATTAAAATTTGAAAGACAGCCAACATCTGGCTTGGGACTTTCTAATGAGAAGAATATTTGCAATGTGATCACGTGGCTAGATTTTTTCCACATAAACTCTACGTTTCATGTAATTTTAACATGAAGCATATGTGATTTTTGTAAGGGTTTCCACCATAGGCTGTAAAGAATAGCTATCCACATCCATGATGCATTTGTATGGATTGTGGGATTATTTTTTGTTAAACTGAAAACAATAACTGAGGTAATTATTTAGTTTTTGGGTCATTATCATTATAAAGTGCCTTTGAGACATCAAAATATTTAAAATAAAAAGTTTGATACTTTTCATTTAACCAGATAGTTGTTGTATAAATTAGTTGTTGTTTAAATACACTATAAACAGCAGCTACACTAATTATTTTCCTTATTCTCTATTTCCACCTGGGGATACTCGTCTCGAGGCCCCCAGAGATTATGCAGCGCCATTGATGGTCAAAGACCTGTGAAGAGATGATCTCAAGGTATCCGTAATCCTGGACCAGGCTGTATCCCAAGTTGATGCTGTGGGGGTCATGGAGAAATGGAGTGCATGAGACTGATTGCCCGCATTGATCCTGTGGACCAGCCTGACCACCTGCCACTGACCTACTCACACTTGCTGAGTGTGAGTCGGTCAAAAGTATCTCCAGCCTCCGGCGCCTAGACTGCAGCTCCACCCAGAATGTTTGGTCAGAAGAATAATGGTCGTGCCCAATAATAAAGGTCGTCCCCTTTTTCAGTTTGTCAATTGGTGAAGCTTTTTGTCCTCACCATTGTCCCCACTGGCTTGCTCGGATCGGGACTTGTGGAGCTGTGCTTCTCTGGATTTGCTCATCAATGTTTGAACTTTCAGCAGTGAAATTTAAACCACACTGAACTAAACCAAACTAAACTAAACTTCTACTCTGAAATCTGGACTTTACTAGAGCTATAAGCTGCTTTGACACAATCTAAATTGTAAAAGCGCTATAGAAATAAACATGAGTTGAATTGAATTGACTTATTTAGACATTAGGCTGTAAGAATTTAATGTTGGTCAAGCTCCTGCACTTTTTACAAATAATCTGCAAGCAGAAAAACCGTAAACAAATCTCAAATTGTGTCAACTCTGTCCTGGACAAAATTCATAGTATATTTTCATTGTAATGTGATTATAAAATGTATATTTTCAGAAAGGTCATAAGTCCCTTTAGCAACCCGACTTTTTAGATTATTGAAAAAAGTCTATTTATAATAATGAAATAATGGACAAAACATTTATTTCCCAATAAATTATGCAATTATTGCACATTCTTTTAAAAATAAAACCCAAGATCTAAAATATTTTGTCAAACTTTGAAAATGGCCCTTATTGGTTATTTAAGAATTCACACAAGATGCTTTGCTGAGGTTATAAATAATTAATTTATTTTTATAAAAGTTGAATATGACAGTGAAAAAACAAGATGACTGGGTGGACAAAAGCTTTATTTAGTGAACTAAATATGGAGGAACATTTAAAAAATAACAGGTACAACATGAAATATTAAAGGGTTCATATAAAAGGTTTGTAAAAGAGTTCAAGAATTTAACTTCTGTCTTTACTAACAACTGCAAACCACTGAGCCACCATGCCACCTCCACTTCTGTTATCAATTTATTAATTTATTCATTTTCTTTTCGGCTTAGTCCCTTTATTAGTCAGGGGTCGCCACAGCGGAATAAACTGGCAACTCATCCAGCATATGTTTTACTCAGCGAATGCCCTTCCAGCTGCAACCCATCACTGGGAAACATCCATACACACTCATTCACACACATACACTACGGACAATTTAGCCCAGTGTTTCTCAACCACGTTCCTGGAGGACCAACAGCACTGCATATTTTCAATGTCTCCTTAAACACACCTGATTCAGATCATTAGCTCATTAGCAGAGACTGAACGAGCTGTGATGGTTGTGACAGACAAAGAAGAGATCTAAAACATGCAGTGTTGGTGATCCCCCAGGAACGGGGTTGAGAAACACTGATTTAGCTTACCCAATTCACCTATACTGCATGTCTTTGGACTTGTGGGAGAAACTGGAACACCTGGAGGAAACCCACGTGAACACGGGGAGAACATGCAAACTCTACACAGAAACGCCAACTGACCCAGCCGAAGTTGATGGGAAGTAGTTTTAGTAAATTAAAACTGTGTCAGTCCAGTTTTCAAAGTTGAAGTTCAGTTTAGTTCAGTTCAGTATGGTTTAAGTTTCGTTTTAAGTACAAACACTGAAGACCAAATCCATTAATGCGCAGCTCCACAAGTCCCAAATCAAGCATCATCAGGGAGGCTATTTCAGAGTTTAGGAGCCATAAATGAGAAGGCTCAACCTCCTTTAGTAGACTTTGCTATTCTGGGTACTACCAGAAGCCCTGAGTTTTGAGATCTTAAAGAGCCGGTTTGATTGAAGCGAGGGAGAAAGTTGGTTAGATAATCAGGAGCTAGTTTATTTAAAGCTTTATGTAAGAAGTAATATTTTACAATCAATATAGAACACAATAATCAGCCAGTGTAAGGAGGATAAAATTGTGGTGATATGATCATATTTTCTAGAGCTGGTAAAAACTCTGGCAGCTGCATTTTGTACTAGCAGAAGTTTATTAATAGAGGATACAGGGCAACCAACAAACAGAGCCTTGCAGTAATCCAGCCTAGAAGTCATATAAGCATGAACTAGCTTATGATATAATATAATAGTGTGCAAGATAAGACTGAAAGAATAAAGTTGATAAACAGGCAAAAACAGTAATGAAATAAACTTTTCAAACATCTAAAATGTGAATGTTTGTGTTGAGATATATGCATTAACCACACTCTATATGCCACAAGATTAAAACAGTGGGTAAACAAACGCAGATGCATGTGTACACCCCAGTGAAGAGGTGACATTGCTAAAGATGACGCTCCCTTGCTGACATTCCAGACTCCACGGCATTCCAGGACTGTCATATAATCTGCCTAGATGCATGTTTGTTTTTCTTTCCTACTCTAGCAATCTCAACATGATGGTAATTCATCTTCTCCCAGCGTGCAGCTGATGATAGGGCTATAAGGAGCATCTCTGTCAGTGTCAAGCTTTCAGTTCATCAGAGAGGTCTTTTGATCATTTGCATGTTTTCACAATCTTTTTTTTTTTATTTGCTATGATCTTCGTATACATTAGCATAATTTCATAAACATAATTGATTCCTTTTTAGACATCTGCAATTGGAGGAATGCGAAGACATGCTGAGAGACAGATGTTGCATTTTCAGCTTATTTTTATATATTTTTACAGTTTCTTACTCTAGCATAAATCAAGTGAGAGTACATAAAATGATAAAACGCTATAAATATAACAAACAGCAGCAACCAAGAATAGAGAATTTGACAAATTATAAAAAGTTTTACCAAAATCTCTCTTAAAAGCATCATATTTACAATAAGGAACATCAAACATTGGGAAAATTGACACAAAATAACAATTTAGCAAGAGTTATTTATTGTCAAGTCTTAACAAAGACCATCAGGATACTTCCATATAAAAATATGCAATTTAAATCTACACAGTAAAACCCAAAAAGTTAAGGTGACTTAAACCATTTGAGGAAGCCGATTAATCAAAAACTAATCCTAATGAGTACTGTGAACTTAATCCATTTGAGTAAATCAAGCAATTTGAGCACAGTAAAACCCAATAAATGAAGAGAACTCAAACCAACTGAGTACTGTAAAACCCAGTAAGTTAAGGCAACTCAAACCGTTTGAGGAAACTGATTGCGACAAACCATTTGAGTAAAACAAACTAATCTATATGAGTACTGTGAACTTACTCCACTTAAGCTGAGGTAATGAGGTATTTAATTAACTCATTACCTTCAACGCTGAGTTCAAAACTCTTTTCAAATGAGTAGAATTAACTTTTAGTCAATTTTATAATTTTATCCTCCTTACACTGGCTGTCTGTTAAGTTTCGTATTGAATTTAAAATATTCCTTCTTACCTATAAAGCTTTAATAAACTAGCTCCTGTTTATCTAACCAACCCTCTGTTTCGCTACAATCCAACTCGCTCTTTAAGATCTCAAAACTCAGGGCTTCTAGCAATACCTAGAATAGCAAAGTCATGTAAAAAGAGGTTGAGCCTTCTCATTTATGGCTGCTAAACTCTGGAATAGCCTGCTGCTCATGTGATATTGCTTATATAGTACATTGTTTCCAGAATGAATGGAATGAGAATGTTCCCAGACCTTATTTTTATATAACTATATTACATTGAGGACATTTTGGGCTTTGGCTATGTATGGAGCACCATTAGGTGGCAAAAATATGTTTTTTTTCCAGTGTACAATTTGAATTTTGTTGAGAAACCTTAAATTCATCAAAGTCCAATTTATAAATTCATTAGGTCCAAACGGATTTGAATGCATTATGATGGTTAAAGATGTTTGTGAATGTCCATCTTAATAGCTGGCAGTTAAATCACAACCTGTCCTTCTCCTTATTTTCTCAACTGAAAGGCAAACCAAGGTAACCAGGCCTAACGATTCAGCTGTTCGCCACACTCATCCTAGCCATCAGCACTGTACTATATTTACCAGCTTCCTGGGTTACACAAGCCCACCACGGGGTGTGCACAAGCCCTCGACCCCTTCCTCTGTCCTCCGGATAAGCTGGGTTCTCTGTTCCTGCCATAGTAAACACACAAAAAGCATGGTGCACAGACCACCGCTGTGGGAACAAACAAGGGGAGGGTCACATGTGAGACCCGAACGACAGCAGCAGACTGTTCTAGGTAACTGGAATGTACACAGCGACCTCATGGCAAACTCCAAACTTGAGACCTCGTGTCTGTCTCCACGTAACTTTGGACTGTGCCGTCTTTGAAAGAGAAACTTTGGAGAAATGTATTTGCTTTTATCCTGCTGAACTGTGCCTGATTCTCTTTGGAACTTGAGCGTGAAGAACAAGCAGGTGAGGTCCCGAGCAACCTTTTTTTTAAATATAAGAAACAAGATTACATTAATGAAATGCTTTATTGCAGAAATTGTAAAATCTGATAAAAAAAAAAAACTTTCATCTAAAAAGTTGTAAATGTCCTCTTCTATGTCCTAGTAATGTAATAAAACAATAATAGTAGCATTAGATAGTTCTAGCTATGTTGTTAGCATCGATTTTCTTATGGTAGTTATTATTACTCAGAGTTTGGGGTCTATTTTGAGGCGATGTTTTTTAAGTCCCACAGAAATATGATATAGTCTTTTTTTTTTCTTTAGGGAATACTTTCAGTCCTTGTTGTGGCATCTCAGAAAGGTGATTAATATTAAGTATAAAAAAAAAAAAACAATTAGCATCCTAAAATAGACATCAGACAGGGGCCATGTGATCTGGAGTGAAATAAAATCAGTAGCTGTCTCTGGGGTGATTAGACGACTTAGTGTTGATAATAGCCCAATGAAAGGTCTCTGTCTAAACGGTTAGACTGTCAAGGGCAAACCTACCGAGGGGATCAGAAACAGCTGGCAAGTGATACAACGGCGTTGATAAACTTAGCTTTGATCAGGAAATGTAGCCAAGTTCTACACATGCATGCATTAAAATGATTTAAGAGACACTGAAATAGAAAGCTGTGGTGTAAGAACTGAATCATGTGAGGCAAGGCAGCAAAAAGGGACCTTAAAGGAAGGGAGAACAACAGTAAACTGTAATGTCTTATTGAATGTTGATTAAACTCTGAGTTCTTTCCTTTTGCAGCATGGCTAGTACATCAACAGAGGTCTTTCCATTCAAGGACCAAGAACTCTCCACACAGCTCCTGTTTCAGCTGAACATACTTAGACAGGAGCAGATTTTTACTGATGTGATTTTGTGCACAGAAGACAAGGAGATACCATGTCACAGAAACGTCTTAGTTTCCAGCAGCCCGTATTTTAGAGCCATGTTCTGCAGCAACTTTCGGGAGAGCAGCCAAGCCAGAGTGGACCTAAAGGGGATTGCATCAGAAGTCATCGAATGTGTTGTGGATTACATTTATACTGGTTCCATCACCATAACTATGGAGCTTGTGCTGCCTCTAATGCAGGCGGCCTCCATGCTGCAGTATGGGAGACTCTTTGAGGCTTGCTCGACTTTTCTGCAGGAGCAGCTTAATCCAGAAAACTGCTTGAGCATGATCCGGCTCTCAGAGATCCTTCATTGCGAAACCCTTAAGGAGAGAGCCAAAGAAATGGCCGTGCGCTGTTTCTCAGATGTAGCTGCTTCTGAGGACTTCTGCGAACTTACCCTTCCCGAGCTAATGTGCTACCTAGAGGACGACCGACTGTGCGCTGAGGAAGAGCAGGTTTTCGAGACATTGCTTGCTTGGATCCATCATGACCCCTTCTCCCGCAGAGGAGCCATACATGACCTCTTTAAGAAGGTCCGGTTGAGGTTCATCCACCCAACGTACCTCTTCCAGTTTATCGCCAATGATCCACTTGTCCAGTCATCTACGCTCTGCACCGAGATCATCGAGTCTGTCCGACGTCTTATGTTTTCTGTTAGTGCCAAATGTACCAAAGAACTGAAGCCTCTATGGACCACACCACGTCGTTATACATGCCGAGAGACTCTGGTTGTGGTTGGAGGTCGCAAAAACAACGAACAGACTTCTCGAGAGGCACTTCTCTATGACGAACGAACTCAACGGTGGCAGTGGCTTGCTAAGCTACCTTTGAGACTTTACAAGGCGGCGTATGTTTGTATTCACAGCATTCTGTATGTGGTGGGAGGCCTCAGTCTTAGTTTGGTATCTGGAGATAGTGCAGTTAGTGCCACAGTGTATACCCTCTCATTGAAGACCAACCAATGGAGGACTGCCGAACCAATGCTGGAGCCACGGTATGCCCATCAGTGTGTCTCCTACCTTCACTTTATCTTCGCTCTTGGTGGAATCGGGCAAGATAAGCAGATATCAAATACAGTGGAGCGCTACAACAGCATGTTCAATCAATGGGAGGTCATGGCACCAATGCCCACAGCAGTCTTACATCCTGCGGTAGCAGCCAATGATCAGAGGATTTACGTGTTTGGTGGCGAAGATGCCTTGCAGAATCCAGTGAGATTAATACAGGTCAGTCATTCAGAAAAGATCACTTGTGATTCGCTCAAGTTGTGATCCCACATGACAAACCCCTCTCGTTCCTCACCAAGGTTTATCACATTTCCCGCAACTTGTGGTCTAGACTGGAAACCAGGACGGTGAAGAATGTTTGTGCACCTGCTGCTGTGATAGAAGACAAGATTTATATTGTTGGTGGTGAGTAAAATATGAGTTACTGGTTTTGATCAGCTCTAAAATCTGAAAGATGTAAAACAGGGGTGTCAAAAACCTTCTGAAGGTCATTGTCTTGCATAATTTATATCCAACCAAACTTGCTGAAGTTTCTTGTGAGTCTGAATAACTTTATTAGGTGATTCAGATGGGTTTAAATAAGATGTGAGGTAAACTCTGCAGGACAGTGGTCCTCCAGGAACAGGATTGAACACCCCTGGTATAGACTGCTTGTTAATATAAATGTCAGGTCAACCAATCACACGGCAGCAACTTAATACATTTAGGCATGTAAATGAACTGCTAAAGTTTAGAGAAGGGTTTAAACCAAGGGTGTCCAAACTCTGTCCTGGAGGGCCGGTGTCCTGCAGATTTTAGCTCTAACTTGCCTCAACACACCTGCATGAATGTTTCTAAAAAGCCTAGTAAGAGCTTGATTAGCCAGCCTAGGTGTCTGATAGGGTTGGAACTCAACTTTGCAGGACACAGGCCCTCAAGGACCAAGTTTGCACACCCCTAGTATAAACAGGTCAGAGCCAGCTCCAAGTAGGTAGGACTTGAACTCCAAGTGGGTGGTACAAACCTAGAATTTTTAGTTGAAAATATTGACTCCAATATTGTGCTTTATGAATGCTTACACTTACCCCAACCGCACAGTAACCTGTTGTGTTTTATTAATGTCTACACCTTCCCCAACCCTAAACATAACCCCACAGTAAGGGCATACTCACACTATGATATTCGAACCGTGCCCAGGCCCAATTCCTGGATTGTTTGAGAATTGTGAGTGATCTGAATCGGACTCAGGCACGGTTCACTTGGCCGGCCCTATCCCCTGTTGGAAGAGGTGTGCCAGAGCGCGGTTTACTTGGGGCTAAGCGCAGTACGCTTGTAGTGTGAGTGCAAAGTGCACCTGAGCCCGAAACAGAAGACAAGAGACTTTTACGAGACTGTTTTATATGAATTTATTAATCATACTTAAAATTCAATGAACACAAACTTTCGTACGGAAGACGGGAGGGGGGACAAGCGTGCTTCGTCCTGGTTCATGCTAACTGTACATAGTGTGAGTAGGCCCTAACATGATGTATTATTGTCTACTCCACCTACAACACCTAAACTCAATCTACTTGTGTAGTAAGTCCCTCCCACTTTGGAGGTCACCCAACCTACTTGCAGTGTAGTCCCTCTGACTTTGAGGTCTCCAGGCTGCAGTGATACCTACTTGAAAGATCAGACCAAGCAACAGTATGAGTGAATCATTTAAGTGACTGGATGATTAAGGCTGGTATGAGGATTTGAAAAACGCTGAGATTTTGTATTAAACTTTTCAGGATACACAAGAAGAGTGATCGCCTATGACACCAAAGCAAACAAATTTGTGAAGTGCACGAACATGAAGGAGAGAAGGATGCACCACGCAGCCACAGTCATCAACAACAAACTCTACGTGACCGGAGGTCGTTTTCTCAACAGTCATGATGTTATTGAGGACTCTGACTGTTTTGAGTGCTATGACCCTAAAACCGACGTCTGGACTTCCAAAGGGTCTTTACCATATAAACTGTTTGATCACGGTTCGCTACCGCTGATCTGCGTCTCCAACCGCCCCAACCCACCATGACTGCAAAAAATCTCTTGCTTGGGCGTCCCGTTCGCTCCCTTGCTCATTAAGAAAAATGAGAAATATGGGGCCACAGCTGAGACTGGAAACCATCTGAGGAAGCTCAAATTCATTTGTGGGTTGAGTACATTTCATCTGTGGCTTTGATGGTATGCTGCTGGTGCTCGCCAGCATCTGTGCCGTCGTAAATCAAACGAGATTTGAGCTGGCAATCACAAGTGTCACAGTGGACCTCAGGGATTGTGCCTAGGACCTCAGAGCAAAACGGCAGACTTATGCAATGCACAGCTGTCCCTGAAGAACTGTGACCCAAAAATCTTCAGACAGATGTTGCTCATCATGATCTCCCTCTCCCAGAACGTCTTGAGCTGACAGATTTTAGTCAATGGCTCCTTGTTAGCCTGAATTTAATTGGAATCCAGGAGATGTGACAATCTTTTAGCCGGTGTTAAATCTACAAGCATATGGACATGACGTGACTGTTTGATGAAGTAATTGGTCAAGTGAAGAAAGCATTCCTGGAGAGCTATGGCATGTGGTCACTTCTATGTAATTAACGAAGGCCAAAAACAAACCTAATGAATCATGAAATGCTTGATGTACCATGTACACTAAAAGTATGTGGACACCTGCTTCTAATTAACAGGCTTTACTATTTCAGCTACACACATTGGGAACAGATGCATAAAATCAAGCATACAGACAGACAACCTGCTAAGTGATCGTTTTCATTCTGTTCCAGACAAAATGCAGTCGACGCTGAAAAACATAAGTTAACAATAGTTTTGTTCGTACAAGAATGATCAATGAGACCTACAGCAAAATCCTGGTTAAGGACTAAAGCACTACCAACTTTGCAACTGTTTTTAAACAATACCAGATAAACATTTAAAGACAGACCTGTTGTGAGCTCTGTGGTTGTACATCGATTGTATATGCTTGTCATAAAATTATCTATTTGCATTTATTAAACTTATTTTTAAAACAGTCAATTTTATATCAGAATTTGTGGAGAAATACAAACTAGCCATGTTGCTGTGCAGACAGTTTCAACCGTTAAGAGAGTCACAGTAAGCAAGTGAAATATTTCAAAGTTATTTTCTTCAAATCAACATTTGTATTGTTGTGATTCTTTCCGTATCGGATTGGTTTGGTGGCTTGTGGCACTTGAAAATAAAACTAAAACCCTTATGGGAAAATTACTTCTAGAAAAGGCACTTTTAAAAGTGGATGGGCACTAATGCGTATGAATGCAATACTTTAAATTGAAACTCATTAAAATAATGAATAATTGCTGATTTTATATGAATAATAAGTGTATTCCAATCTTTTTAATTTGTATTCATTCATTCATTTTCCGTTGGCTTAGTCCCTGATTATGTTTATGATTATGATTATCACCATTCAATTCGAATCATAATTTTTATGTTTTATGTTATTTATGTTAAGAACTTTTTGTTATTTATGTTAAAAAGGACACGCAACTCTGTTTATTTAGAGACCAAAATATAATGGCAACAAATATATATATATATATATATATATATATTTATATATATATTTATATATATATATATATATATATATATATATATATATATATATATAATTTACCAATATTAACTCAACCAAAATAATTAATTAAACAAACAAACAAACAAACAAACATAAAACAGATCAACAAAGAATAAAATAAACAGCAACAAGACCAGCATCGCTCTTCTGCAGCGGCTGCACAGGATGCGCACAGAACTCTTAAACCTTCATCAGGACAGCAAGATGCAAGGAGATTCTCAGCAAGTATGGGTCATCCTCGCAACAAAGCAAAAAAAAAAAAGACGCTGGAAGTCTTTCTTGTGTGATCAAAATATTCTGTTTTCTGATGCCTATAAAACTGTAGTACAAATTGGAAAATCCATTGGAGTTATAACAATTGGACCTCCGGCGGCTAGCTCTCTGCAACTCTTACATGGTCACCCACTGAAGCTAAACCTGTATGGGAGACCACATGGGAAACCTAGATTGCTGCCAGAAGTAGTGTTAGTCAGACCAGCAGAGGGCACCCAACCTGCGATCTGTATGGGTCCTAACGCCCCAGTGTCGTCAGTGAAAGGAACTCTAGTCTAGTGCAGTAAGCGCCATTTTTCAAATGAGACATTAAACCGAGGTCTTGACTCTCTGTGGTCATTAAAAATCCCAGAATGTCTTCAGAAAAAAAAAAGAGTATGGGCCAAATTTGCCCACTTGCCTCTGTCCATCCCCATATCGTATCATATCAATCTGTCTCCTCTCCACCAATTAGCTGATGTGTGGTGTGCGGTCTGGCCCAATATGGCAGTCGTCGTGTCATTTAAGACATCAAGGAGATTCCCCTCTATGTGTAAAGCTCTTTGAGAGTCCAGAAAAATGCTATATAAATGTAAGGAATTATTATTATTTTTATAAAAATATGGTAGTTAATGCATTATGGGGAAAAATAAATGCAAATGTTAACAAATATATCCATAAAAATAATTATCTCTTTGTGGCTTAGATGTAAAAAAAAAAAATCAATGTTGAAAAAACAGGAAGTGCTGTTAGCAATGATTTATGTTTGCTTAATTATGTTGATCTCAAAGCTCACTGTCTGAAAAGGTCTTGTCTGCAAACTCCATTATCAAATAAAAGACAGAGGCTTGAAGATCCCTGACAAAACACAGAAAAGATCAATGGAGAGAGGATCATTCAAAATGTCCATTGCCTCCTCACATGTAAAAAAGCAGCTAGAAAACCATCTGGTGACCTTAAACTTTGATGAATAAACCAAAAACCAGGTTTATATTAAACTGAACTTAAGTGAATGAAGGAAATGCTGAAGGAGTTATTCATTTCCAAAAGCGATCGATTCAGCTTATATTTCACTGCACTTTGTCATTTGCAGGACACAACCGCAAGTAAACAACTACATACCGAGCATAACAAAAGCGCCGGACTGCAGGAGGGGCAGCATAATCGGAAGCACAGCTGGTCTCGATCTAAAAAACTCGCCGCTAACTTTAGCCATGAGCCTTTAGATAGAGAGTACACCCCTGCAGCGGAGATAGCTCTCAATAACTGTTGTCATGAGAACTACCAATCAGACGGCAGGACAGACTTGTTTTGCAATCATCATCTCAATTTATTGTCCACTCTAGACTAAAAGCATGCTCCAAGCCGGTGGAAATGGGTTTGTTTGTAAATGAACCGTCATGACTTCTAAAATCAGGCCTAATGAAACACAGGCAACATCATAATCTAAAATATTGTTAAGTTATGTAGTTATGCAATATTGCACTTATATTTACAAACAACAATGCATGGATACCATTTAAGGAGTGGGCAGAGCTAAAGACATTTAGGCACCTGATGCTCCCTGCAACTGCAAGAATTCTAAAAAATGCCCATTGACTGGTTTTAGCCTCTTCCAGGCGCTGGTCTTAGCTGGTCAGGCGTAGAATGACTAAGTATCTGTCTGCAGACAGCAAGGGGCGTACCTTGAAGGGGCCTTAGGGGCATAACGAAGTTATGGAGACATGTCAAAACTATGTTGTCAGCAAGATGGCGCTGTATATCAATTATTAACGCCTACACATACACATCTAAAGCCAACCATCACAGTTATTAAGGTACAGCCACGAGTTGCAGAAGCTTTCATACTTGATGCGCTCGCCCATGAACAGTTATTTGCATGCACAGCAGTCAATGCAGAGTTGCATGGTGACATCGCTAAATGAATGTATATAATAATATATCAAATTCATATTGGTTGTGGGTACATTTGGAGAAAACTCATGAAAACATTTGATGAAAATGTTCTCAGGAAATTTTTTCCGCCATCTTGCCAACAACATCTCCTTGTGACATCTCACATGGTTCAATAAGATTTCGATAACTGCAAGTTACACTTCTAACTCAGTACAAGTTACGCTCCTTCATCTTACACCCCTATATTGCAGTCCACAGACAGATGTACTAGTGGTTTAATGGGATCTCGATAACAGCAAGTTACGTCTCCAACTTACTACAAGTTACGCCCTTCCATCTTACACCCCCGTCTTGCAGTCCGCAGACAGATTCACTTGTGGCTTAATAGGATCTCGATAACTGCAAGTTACGCCTCAACTTTTGCCCCCCTCTTGTAGTCCAAAGACAGATACACTTGTGGTTCAATGGAATCTTGTTAACTGCAAGTACACACAGGGCCGGATCAAGCTGAACTGCCGCTCTAGGCAAAGGAAGGTCACGGCGCCCTCAACCCAGTGAAATGGGGGGGTTATGGGGGGGAGGTGTCATGGACGCCGCCCTCTTTTTTTCTGCCACTCTAGACGTGGATATAACTGAGGGCACGGATGGTGAGCGTAGTGTCGCAGACGCTGCACTCTCTATTCTTCCACACTAGATGCAGATATAACTGAGAGTGCGATTGGTGAGCGTAGTGTCGCTGACGCCGCCCTCTCTATTCTGCCGCCCTAGGCGCAGATATGAGGGTAGTGTCGGGGATGCCGCCCACTCTATTCTGCCGCCCTAGGTCGCCTCTATGGATGCGCCGGCCCTGAGTGGACCATGACTACAAGTTATGCCCCTTCATCTTATGCCCCCATCTTGCAGTCTGCAGACAGATACACTTGTGGTTCAATGGGATCTCAATAATTGCAAGTTACACCTCTACTACAAGTTATGCCCCTTCTTTTTACGCCCACGTCTTGCAGTCCGCAGACAGATGCACTTGTGGTTCAATGGGATTTTGATAACAACAAGTTACGCCTTTCCTACAAGTTACGCCGCTTCATTTTACGTCTCCGTCCTGTAGTCTGCAGACAGATACACTTGTGGTTCAATGGGATTTCGATAACAGCAAGTTACGCCTTTCCTACAAGTTTTGCCGCTTCATTTTACGTCTCCGTCCTGTAGTCTGCAGACAGATACACTTGTGGTTCAATGGCATCTTGATAACTGCAAGTTACGCCTCTACTACAGGTTACGTCCCCTCATCTTATGCCCCAGTCTTGTAGTCCACAAACAGATATACTTGTAGTTCAATGGGATCTCGATAACTGCAAGTTATGCCTCTAACTTACTACAAGTTACGTCCCCTTTTATCTTACGCCCTCAATTTGCAGTCCGCAGACAGATACACTTGTGATTCAATGGGATCTCAGTAACTACAAGTTACGCCCCTTCATCTTACCTCCCCGTCTTACAGTCTGCAGACACATACAGTTGGAGTCACCAGCTAAAACCAGCTTGACTGGTCTCATAGCTTGAGCAGCTAAAGCCTGGCACACACTGTGCGATTTTTAATAATCCTAATCGATTTCAGCATGTCAGACTCCAGAAACATTGCTCCCATGACACACTGTAAGATCTCAGTCATCATAATGTCAGATTGAATGACAATAAACCCGTGCCAAACACTGAAGATAACTCACCTGGAGTTTGAATTCATCATCTGTGACTCTTTCACTGTCCCGTGGTCTGAAATGATTCCTCACGGCAAACAGAAACAATCTGTAGCTGCAATTTTGCACACAGCATGTCTCAATAAGAAAACCAGAGAGAAAAACATTGACATTGGTGACCCTTGGGTTAAAGGAACACTCCACTTTTTTTGACCTCATTTTCAAGTTCCCTTGAGTTAATTAGTTTTACCACTTTGGAAACCATTCGACTGATCTCCAGGGGCCTCATGTACGAAGACTTGCGTGGAAATCTTACTAAAACATTGCGTACGCACAAAGCTGTAAATGTGCGTACGCAGAAAAAAATTCAGATGTATGAAACACTGCGTACGCCGAATCTCACGCATATTCTTTTGTACATTTGAATGAACGTGAAACTGAGCGCAACATGCACGAGCACAAAACCCCTCCCTGCCTCCTCCTCCGTATGAATATGCTAATGACTATGCTAATGGCAAAACCCAACGAAAAAGCAAAGGTAAAAGCAAGCAAAAAGAGAAACTTTGAACA